GGCCAGTTCCGATTGCGACTGGACTCAAGCGCGGCGCACGGTGGATCGAGTAAGGAGGAGGTCGGGCATGAATTTGTTTACTATAACTGGTATATTAAAGATAGATTAAGTCCTATTTTATAACGGAGATGTTGCATGTGTGAGGAATTAGCGATTTGATTATTGATTCTAATGTAAAAGTTCGCGAGAAACACGATGGTACCACTGGTTTTCTCTGAAATCAACTCCCAAGCTCAAAAAGAGCTCTCAAAATGAGGCGAAAATGGAGGGGATGTCCCACGCTATCCTGAGAGTCCACCTCTACATCAAGACAAACTCTCCGTGCAAAGATAGGGAGCAAATATATTGACAGGGCTGCCACTTTATATGGGGACTCCACAACTGAAAACACGACAACCCTGCTAATGTATTTGCTCCCTATCTTTGCATGGAGAGTTTGTCTTGATGTGGAGGTGGACTCTCAGGATAGCGTGGGATATCCCCTCTATTTTGGCCTCAGCTTGAGAGCTTTTTGTGAGCTTGGGAGTTAATTTCAGAGAAAACCAGTGGCCACATCGTGTTTCTCGCGAATTTTTACACGAGAATCAAAAGTCAAATCGCAAACTCCCCACACATGCAACATCTCCATTCATCTCTCGGAAAGCCGGAGAGTTGCGCGGCAGAGATGGAAAGTGAAATTTCATAAGGCTCGAATAAATTTCACAAAAGTTGAAATTTATTAATTTTTTTTAGAATTATTTATTGAACCTTTGAAGGTCTGAAAGCGTTTCAGATGGTCTTTCTGTTAATGCTGCGGTGTTATGCTACTCTACTGAAGGTGTCAGACACAAAGAGGAGGCTAAAAGGGGAGTTTAGAGAGAAAAACCCCAACCTAACCTCTAAACTAAACGAAAACATTTGCAACGCGCGAATGTTTTATGGCTTGGGGTAAAAAATTTCACAATTTAGAATCACTGTTTCTAGGCGTTTCTTAGCCTCCTGAATGTATCCCCAGAAGTTTCAATATATTTCATGACATTTCGTGAAATTTCATTCGAATAAATTTCATGAAATTTCCCATCTCTGGTTGCGGGCTGGAAGACTGGGTACTGGAAAGGCGGTGGAACCTGCAAAACGTTTTACCCGAATCGAGGGCAGTGAAGAAACCGCGCGCGAGGCACCGGTGGATCCGGCCGCGGCGCGGGCATAAAAACCCGGCTGAAAATCCATAAATTCAACGCAAACGGCATCAGGGTCAAATTTAATTTTCAGGTTAAATAAATTCCGAGTGGGTATGTAAATCAGTGCGTTTCTTGCGATACGGGCGGGGGCCGAGACGCCGCCGCGTTGCCGCTCAAAAGCTCCGCGCGGGTCTCCTTCTCCTTTGTCTATCCATCGATAGATAAACTCCGCTCCTCATCGAGGAAATGTTGT